TTCAAGGCTTATCCAAAAATACATATGATGCGCAAGGCCAAATTGGACTTGCATCTTTTCAGTGAAATTGAGCACTAAATGATGTATGTTACGTGGAGTGGCGGAACAAAACGCCCAAACACAGAATGGTGCTGTGATGTGTTGTCATTAATCAATCTTTCAAAAGTTGCTGGCGTTATGTTCTTGGAACGCCGCACACTTGCACACAGTCCCTTTTAAGTTCCGAGTCAAAACACAGTGTTGTAAAATGAAATGATAAAATACGACGATCTGTGTGCTGAGGATTTTTACAACTTGACCGCAAAATAAGTCTGATTCAGACGTCTTTTGCGTCATTGTTTGGATACCCCTATGACCTGCGGCTAATGGGTTTACTAAGGTCAAATTTGTATTTTAGTTGCTTCGATAGCCGAGTCTTCAAACAGCAGTTCATTCGAACCTTTTTTCAACGTCATTTTTGGTTATATTTCCATCTACGAGTAATATGAGAAGCCAGTGTCGTATGCCAAATATTTTTCTAATGAAAATGATTTCGTTTGAGCTTTGTAAAGGATTATTTCAAATACATTCGCCACCGGATCTGCTGCGGTTTGCACATCCCTAACTATGAAAATGGAGACAACACCGGAGAAGCGGCAGGTCGGATACAAAAGAAAATTTCCTCGAATTTCACCAAGAAAAGAAATCGTTCAAATATGCGGTTTTGTTCGACATATTGGATTTAAACGTTTAGCTATCAATGAAATTCAATTTCTCAAACAGGGCCTTGATTTCAAATATAGGCATAAAGTAGTAACCCACGATGTAGCGAAATTCGCATTTTCAAATCCTCAGTAAGTATTTTAGATAAAGCCGTATTAATCACCCGTAATATTCGTGAAATCAACGACCGACCCGAAGCACTTCATCGCAATGGGAACTGAGTACACTGAGTTCACCAGAGAAAGATAACATTTGCTGCGGTGCTGAAAAGCAATTAATGCACTTCGCCCAAACATATAAAACCTAAACTGCAGTAAAATGGACTCATTTGGGTCAGTATGCGCCTACCACATAAAAAAACCACAAAACCGGTAAAGCATGTTCGTAGTCACTAGATTCAAGCTTTTTTGGACCCAATAGTTTTCGTCGATTACCGAAAATGCGGCAAACTGTCTGTCTCAAACGTTCGATTGCGAGACACCCCATGAGTGTTAGTAACAACTTGAGGAGTGGTTTTTTAAAGCCGTATTATACACCCATATCACTGGTGATGAAGTAACATCTCTTTATAGTTGTGTTAATTATTTCTGTCTCCAGTTATGCTTGCTGATGTATATCTCGCTCCATACGGTGGTATTTAATGACATCAGACCAAACACACTTCTACTATGAAAAGCTCTGGGCATTTGAAATGAAGCACTCTAAGGATTAGCACCATTCTTGGTGAACGTGAGGATGAGCCAGAGGTACAGCGTGGTTGTACATTGTCACCTGGCAGGATAATTCCAAAAATAAAAAACAACATAGGTTTAGCAAATCCCAGTTGATTACTACCTCTGTGCATTTCGCCAACAGGCAATGGATAACTTAAGTTGTTCCAAAACGTTTCAACCAGCTCATCTTCGTAAACCGGGACAGTCCTCAAGCATTCAGCTTCACAGTAAACGTCTTGATATAATATTTGGCCTTGTATTGGTTTAGTGAGATGGAGGATAACAAAATTCCTTTAAGTTAACAAACAGCAAATTTTAGAGCAAGCTGGTCAGCTGCCTTGGATGAATAAATCCAAAGTGTATATTTTTTATATATTTGCATGCCCATTTATAGTTGCCAGCAGTCACCCAACTAACAAAAAGAATGTTAAGTATACGTTGTCCGTATTTTCTGATTTGCGCAGCAGAGTTTCATACAGCATTGACTATTTAATTTCGATATTGACATTTAGAGAAAGAAGTGGGTAAATGGGCAACTAATGTGCAAGTGAGCAGCTAGAGAATGGAGAATTTTTTATAAAAAACCAGGCGCGGAGCTGCAGCCAATCAAAATCCCGAGAGGAAATGACAGAAAATAGTGTAGTTTATCTAAGTATTGATGACAACGTTATATTTCATTATCTAGTATTGAAAGCAAATGCATTACAGTTTGCAAATTTTGCCTCATGTCAATTACTCCGGTCCAAGATATTCCCTCACCTTCAATCATACCAAAACCCAACATCAACGCCTCCTCTGTGCATCTTCCACCATTCTGGCACCACGAACCATGCTTTGGTTCGCACAAAGATATTCCCCTTCAATCATACCAAAACCCAACATCAACACCTCCTCTGTGCATCTTCCACCATTCTGGCACCACGAACCATGCTTTGGTTCGCACAAGTTCAAGCTCAGTTCGCCATTCGGGGAAGCACGCAGGAACAAACAATGTATAAGCACGTGGTTGCCGTACTCCCTCCCGAAATTGCAGCCGATTTACGCGACATATTAATAGATCCAATCCTTATACGCAATTACTTACTTCCATCATTAGGCATCCGAACAAGAACAGCTGGAATATCTACTTAGCGGAGCATCTCTCGAAGTCTCCACTCCATATTGATTATTAAGACAACTTTACAGCATCACGGAGGAATTCGAAATTGATCATGCTTTGTTTAGGCAGCTTTTTTTTAAACGTTTACCCACCCACGTACAATTAATTTTCGCTTCCAGTTAAGAAGGTGCTCAGTTCTCTGGACTTGCCAGCACAGCAGATATGATACTGGAAATTCAACCGTGCTCTTTTAGTATTTCTTCTGTAGACATACCAGTTTTTGTACCAACTTTTCATGAACGTCTTGGCAAGTTAACCAAACAGGTAGAAGCCATTTGCTTGTTTTGACCATACCAGCTTCGCCGCGCGCTGTCGCGTTCACGCTTGCAATCACCCTCCACGGGAAATCGTCATTGCTGGAACCATAGCACTTTTGAACATCGTGCACGCAAGTGCTCGCAAGCTCGTTCCTTCCGAAATAACACGCATCCCCTCAGAAAATTCCTGGAAACACACGGGAAGTACCATACAGGCGAGTAAAGTTAAATGCTTCCCTCATATCACTCGCCGGCTGACAGTTTTCGACGAATCATCTGGCTTCAGTTTTCTTATTGACACTGGAGACGACATCAGCATTATTCCTCTATCCGCCGCTTATTCCAACTCCAAGTCTTCTACTTTCACTCTAACTGCCGCTAATGTCTCTTCTGTCAAGACTTTCGGGAAGCGTGCTTTACGAGCTATGCTCGGGTTACGCCGTGAGTGTACCTGGATTTTGGTCATCGCAAACGTGCACTATCCTATCACTGGCGCCGATTTTATCACACACTTCAGCATTTTCGTCGATCGGAAACAACAATGTCTCATCGACGCTTGCACCCGCCTCTCTGTTAGAGGTCGATTTATCCGTCTACCTTCAACTAACCAGCGGAACAGTAACTCCACCCTCGAACCGCAGCGAAGTATTCAGTGTAATGGATAAATCTCGGCGAGAATTGAATTCAGGAAACCAACGTCGCTCTTGCTGCGTCCAGCCACAGTGCAAAAAAATGGGAGCAAAATATCCTATAGTATGAGCAACAAGTGCACTTGCTTGACTGGTAATCTTTGGAACAATAAACAATCTGAATTGTTTGAACTGAAGTCGCATAATGGAATTCTCACTAACCATTTTGGACCCTCATTTGCATCAATCCATGAGGCAGTACACGTTTGCCATGACTAACTTTGTGTCCAAAAATCGATGATGCCGAGTTCGAAACTTAAAAATTGCAATCGACGGGGGTGCCTTGCGGGAACCTCACAAGAGTCGTACGATTACCGAATGGGGGAACGGGAAGTCGGATGATACCGCGGATAATAACATCTGTAGGCACTATCAGACTGTGGAACAATGGATTTAACAATACTTGTGTAAACAATAAAATTGTGCTTTTGACCAGAAGCTGATGTCAAAGTGTCAGAAACGTATGATGAATTTTGAGGCCAAATAGCTGTAGGAAGGTTAGAGATGACTGCATATAATGCTTTCACTTCAATATTTGGTCACAAGTGAAGTGACTTACTTTTCAGAACTTATAGACAAGTTGAATGCGTCCCGTTTCCCCGGTTAAAATACTTCGACTGCCGGTGAGTGCCTGAGCATCTTGGATGATTTATATTCCCAAAATTTTTGAACCGCCGATTCGCAATTACAATCAGTGAAGAATCATGTCAACAAAATTTAAGCACACAGTTATTTTAAGGTTGGCTTTTGTTGTCTATCTGCATCCGAGAATTATTTTTTGAAATAATCCAACAACGCCGCTTCATCAGTCTCCGTTATTTGCTTCCGAGTTGTTTGGAATTTTCATCTGGACAGAGATACAGTTTGTGTTGTGATTCGAACAAGTACATACCAGCAATGTGCGTAACACGTAGCTAGCCTTTTAGCTGGGCGGTGGAGTCACCTTTGACTAACTGCTTCTTTAGCTGTTACGCAAAATCACGGAATGACTGATTATGAGAGAGGATCAACATATTCAACCTAGATGTTTTGGCTGCCACGAAGTTCATCGGTTTAAAGTGTGACAGAATAATCTCTTCAATGCATCTTAAGAAATATCAGTTACATATACAGCTTATACCTAATCCTCGATCAATATATATATGCTGATTTGTCAGCAAAATATAGAAAATACACCGTGATTTTATTATCATTCGTTTTTATAAGGCACCATATGTGACATCTTTACAAATAATCCTCTACGTCCCGCGCAGTTGAATCAGGATCTATTGGTTCCATTTCGGCATGCATGACGGCTCGTTTGAACGGCCGTGTTCCTATTCTGGCGTAATTATTATAATGCTACAATCAAACGAACTAGGAATTCAGGCTTCAGCATGGCGTAATATCTACCACTTACCTACTCAAACTGAAGCAGATGTACAACAGTTTGAGTATCAAAACAAGAGAATAATTTCGTATAGAAATGGATAGACGGTCAAACACGTTCATCACCCTAAGACGCCATCATTTTTATTAAGAGTCCGCATTTTAAGATGTCCTGCTGATGTAGGAAAAAGTGGAGAAATTTAATCTAGCTAGAGTCGGGTAATGGACGAAGCATCAGTGTGAACAACAGCTGCAAGAGCAGCTTTCTAAACCCGAAATGGGAGAACAAGAACAGGAAAGGTCTTCACAATTGGAAATAAACTGACTGCACCATACAAATATAGATTTAGAATCATGTACCGATGTACTACTCTAAAGGAAGCCATTCTCAAATAGGCTGGTGAAAAAAGCTGTAAGAGTGTTCCGTGAGGCCCAAATGTGGCACGATTTTGTAGAACTGTGGATGCAAACCTCTCGATGGCCGTGACGGCAACACCACTTAGAAATTATGATACAATTTAGGGATGAACATGCCGCTTGACTTTTCAGCCCAGTTCCAACTACAGCACGAAATCTATTTTTAATATTACCAAATCTGCTCAGTTCGCCATTAACAAATGAAGGTTCAGTGTTGTTTAAACTTTCATACTCAATATTACAACAAGTTACACCTGCACGTGTGTACCGAGCTAGAATTATTCAGCTACTGATTCAAGGGAGACTAATTAAAAAGTTGAGTGGTTTGGCAAAGAGTTGTTTTGTTCGACAAACAACATTTGCGCTTGAGGCTTGAATTTTCGTTTTCAGTTTGAGCAAAACCTATTTTATGTCTTTCGGATAAATTTTTCTCCGGATTTGTTTTGCGACAGATGTTTTTTTTCTCTAGACCAAATAGAATAGCCCACCGAATGCTACCTTTGGCAGGATACTTCTGGTCATTTGTGAAAAAAAATTTTTCTACCGCGAAATCGTACCTGAGAACATATTTTAAAACATTGGTTGTTAAATAACGTTCATGTCAATTTTTGTGCAGTGAAGAAAGGGGAATCAAAGCCAGCAGAATCAAAACAACAAGTTTACATGATCAGGAATCCCTTGCCGCGGTTTACTTTCAGATTGCTATCTCAAATTCTGCATAATGAGAAGAAATCCTGGACACAGTTGTTGGCTTCAGAAATTAAGTTGTGGCATAAAACTCAAGCAGAATGACTTGTTTTGATTCGACGGGTATATTCTTTCCCCTTGGAGCGAATCACGTTATGAGCAGCCGTTTCAGATACAGAACAGGTTAAAATAATATGACTAGAAAAATGATAATTTGCCAATGCATGCGATTCCTCTATAATGACAAGGCTGAAGGCTTTTATCTTACAAGACCTATCGTGTGTCTGCATTTTACCACCATGGTATTACGATTAAGCGTAAGAATATTAACAAAACGGAGTAAAGCTCGCGTTTTTGCCTAACCTAGGCAACAAAGTACACCGTTTTGCAAAAATCTGTCCTTGCAGTTTCACTCCGTTGAACTGAATCATATACAGTCTATTTGATTAATGTATTTCGGCCTGGAATACATGCCGGAAATCTACGTCGAGCTCTGGAATCAAAATACGCGTCAGCACATTTTAGTCGAATTTCACGCCAGGTGCGCCCCATGGAAAATTGCTCTAAAATATACGGTGTATTATTGGAAAACGTCCATTATTTGATTAATAAAATCCGATTTTTATTTTGCTCAGCGTTTTTGTAAAATATATTGAGAATGCGATTCATCTATTAAAACTGGCGAAGTAAAGCTGGAAACACTAATTTTGCCAGCAAAACCCAAAGAATCCGAGGTAACTTCAGCACTGTACTGCGGCGAATCCCATCTGATTATTTTGTTGGTCAAATAGCAGGTAAAAATGCCGCAAAAGGGACACTCCAAGGGTCCAGGTCTTCTCACTGGTGTCTGGCTCTATTTGTATTGCAAAATGATAAAATCCAACATTCCAAACCTGTAAGAAATATAAAAACAAACACATATAAGCAAATAAAATTTCATAAGATATTAACAGTCCTTGAAAAGCAAAGACACTCAGGTAATCACTTACAAATCTTGTAAGTTCTTGAGACGGCACCGTGAAAATGCGAGATGCCAGCTTAATTCTCAATGGACGAACCTGGTTGAGTTTATGCGCTGGAACGTGCAGCAACCCATGAACATGTTTATCTACAGTTAATGTTTCCAAAATTTTGTTCGATGCTTCAGCTGGTGCATATGTATCCGGTGATCCAGTGTCCGCATAGGCGAGACATCGTTCGCACAGCAGAAGATCACCATATTCTATGCTGAAAGTGATAAACATTTCGAAAATTCACCAACCTGTCCTTAGAAGCAAACGAAAAAGTCATGGTTTCCTCTTTCACTACATACTAGAATGTATAATAATTTGGGGTGGAGGCAAATGTTACACGACCAACAGAATGTCCCAAACCTACAACTAGCAAAAGAGGCGCTTTCGTTGCATACCGATTTGAAACCTGGACGTGTTTTTTAGGAGACCGTCCAACGATTCCTATGAATTTCCTCAAGATTAGTAGCAACTAACCCACTATAATTAGAAAAACGTTGCATATGTCTAACATCGTCGAACTTGAGAATTCTGCAAGCAAAAGAACTGCTTGCTTTGAAGATTTAAATTAACTCATAAGTGCAATTATATCCGAACTAGCAAAACAAAACAGGTTTTCCACCAAATCGTCGTCAGTGCTAATTTATCGACGCTTTTTTAATTCGAAAAACAAACGTGTTCAAGGACAGCCTCATGCTGAACATGGATGTCGGATAATAATGTAAACGAATTATCTAACAGTGTCGCTTTTGGTGCTGCACATTTAAATGGTATTGTCAGACAAGCTAAGACTCAGAATTCGATTGTTTAAGTAGTACACAATATTCCGCACTCTTCCACGTCTGCACACATGCAAAAAGTTAAGCGGGCACTCTGTTCGTCAAATTTCGAATTTTTTATTCGAGGTTGCATGGGTGATTGAAGCGTATTTGAAGTCAAATGGCTAACTGTACCCAGAATCACTTAGAGTCTACCACACCAGCCAAATAAATTATTGGTAAACAGCGCTGAGAGACCGTCAAACTCGAGGTTAAAAGGGAATAAGTGGATGAAGAATAATGATAAAATTCAGTGAAAAAATTCTCGTCAAAGTTCAGTGGAAAATATTGGAGCTGGAAACTTCAAAAATGAGGTGATGAGGACGATGAAGAAATTAAAATTCAACTCATAGAAAAAAGAGCTTTGTGCAGCTCTATACGAAAAAACCCCAAGGCATTCTAAGCCGCTTGTTTTGGCGGATAAAGTTGTTTACATTAAAACTTGTGTTTCCACTTATTTCCTGAGTGCTCAGCCAAACGTTTTCCGATTCGCGGCAGAACCACACTTTCAATCATTTTGAATTGATGATACAGAATTCTCCAAGGCCTACCACACCACACAATACATACACACTAAGAGCCCTCCGTACGGACAATCTGGCACATGCAAATAAATTGTTTTAAACGAGATTTTGAAATGAGCTTGAGGCCAAAGGTCGCGCTGTATTTAGTCCCCATCAGAAACGGTCGCTTAACTCACCTAACCTTCTGTCATATTCAGTGATTAACACGGAATTCAGGACTCTGGTCTTTCTCTTACGCACTGCCAAATACTGGCTAGTCTGCAGTATGTGAAATAGTAAATTGTCTGCTGAGGAGTGTTCATGCAAAACCAATTTCGTTCACCATCAAATCCAGAAAACGACGATGAGATAATGGGCAATGGTAGATGTTCTGTCGGACTTGGTGAGACTTGTTACCATATCTTGGTCTACACCTCTATTTCTACCAATTAATTTTCCCTGGCGAATGAAGGTGAGTATCGGGTGTGCAGTTGCAAGGAATGGGCCATGGAATATCAACTAAATTTACGTATGCAAACTGAGCCCGGCTGTAGCCTGAATACACGGTAGGATTTGCATTTCTGGCGTGTTGAATCACTGTTTGGCAAAAAGTTTTAGTATGGAAGTTTCGGCCAGAGGAGCGCATCGTGTCAGACGTGTGGGTGTACTTGGTAAACGTACCGTGTCTGGTCTATTAAAAGGCTCCTTATGCGCTCGTCATTGTGAGCTTGAGTGGCAGTTTTAATAAAACCTGAGTTAGTTATTGGACGCCTGTCAATCTTGAAATCAGTTTTGTGGTTAGCTCGTACGAGGATGCATGTCTCTGTGCGTTTAACTCACCTAGTGATGTCCACCACCCACTGAGTTCCTTGATATAGTGACAAACTCACAATTGGCGGATGGTAGTATTCGGTTCGGGTCCCTCCAAATTCCAGATTTCCGTGTATGAACCAAGAATCCCCGCGCACACCTTTTTCACTGAAATCACAGTATTTAGGTATGGCTTATGCATGGACCGCCAACAGTAATATCTACCTTCAAAGTTCTATGGCAGATGCAGCTTCCTTGCATACAGCTGTTTTTAAATGGTTCAGCTTGCTAGCTTAAAGTGAATAACGAATGGAGAAAGTAAAAAAACGATTCCACAATAAAGAACAGCAAACAGTGACTGCCACAAGAAAAGTGAACATGAAAGCAAGGCTTCCGTGTGAGTATCGAATAATCTGGAGATGCGTTGTGTCCAAGAACAAGAGAAGCATTCTATTCAACGAGTTGTTTTAATTCAGCATCACAAAGGTATAGGATCACCATACAAACAAAGGCCATTGCTGGTCTTAGCCTCACAGCGATTGAGGCCGCTCACAGACACAATGCCCATTAGTAAACAAATTGATTCTGAGGAATGAATGTGCAAAACAATTCTATTTATTATTTTCACTTTTAGAAATTCTAATTTAAATAACCTGGATTACTCTGGTTAAATATGCATCTTATTTGCCAAAGTTATTCGCCAGATAACGTAATTTTTTTCACCATTTAATACAGTGCTCCTTTTATTGTATAGGTGCTTAAATTGGTGTTACAAGTTCGGAAAGACATGGAAAAAATCAATTGCAAATGGAAGCGTATACCTGAAAATATTACGTGGACTGCGGAGAAGTTGGATATTTTGTCCGTCATTTTAAACATGTGAGGTGCAGGAATGGAAAGTGGAGAAATTGCTATAAACCCAGAATCAATCAACCTACGTACATTCCGTATTATTGTCAGGCACTTTGAATACTTTAACTAAAAATTATTGTCCGCAAGCTATCATAGATTCAGAGGCCTGGTCAAGAATCTATAATGATGATGGTAACTTTTCTGTGCTTCGGCATTGTGCCAAGATGAACTCCACCAAACAAATCACTTAATACTTTAGAAAAACTACAATGGGTACTCAGTAGCTAGTTTGTTAGAGCTACAAATAAATCCAAACAGGTGCTAACCAAATAGGCAAAAGATTGTAACTGATGCAGAAAAAACAGTAATACCACTGCGTGGGGTTCTCGAAAAGGCATACTCTATAGACTATTGATGAGCTTATATTTCCACACGCTACACTCTTGGTACAGAAAATCATCCAAAACAATTGCCATGTAGCCTTGTACTTAAAACGCAGTGATTATGAAACCGCATGGGTCAGGTTCTTGTTAGAACTCACATGTGATCAGACTATTGTGGGTTAATGCATTACAATGATAACGTGGGAAAAAACACAACACCCAATCAGTGTATTAGGCCTGATCCGTTCACGGATTTGACCAAACAATAGCATTAAATTGGGTTGTGAGTTTGTTGCTATTCTGGACAATACCGGAGAGCGAATTCTATTCTCACCGTTGCACCAAACGGCAACATACGCTTAAAATGGTGCACAAATTTACATTGGAAAATTTAGATTGAGTAATTTCAACATTGATGCCAACAAGAAGGCTAAAATATTTCTCCTGTAACGCGCTGTAAAATATACGATCATAGTCCGACAAACATGTTGATTATAGGAGGCAATGTCTGTTCGTTAACATCCGGGTAATTTATTTCGAATGTAGTGTACTAATGGTAGTTCTGACATCGTTGGCGATCCATAAAAATATGCAATGCATATTTATTTCTAAAAAAACGTCACCAGAAAACGAACCCGCAAAACCGAAAAGTGAAAATGGCATCAGTCACGATGCCGGCTTCCACGATATAATCCAGAATTGTAGTGTTTGAGAATTCACATCTTCCGTCATTTGAAGGTGGTCTTCTCATTCCAATTATTCCGTCATACCCTTCTCTTTTGTCCACTGCCCCAGTGCTCTCCATCACTACAACGAACTTGAATTGCGGAAAAACGCGACCTGCAAACTTTTTGAATGTTAAAGCATAAGGATTACACTAACCAACCCAAAGCTCATCCGTCACCACATGTCCCCTATATTTTTCACCAGAGTAACTGGTTTCGAACTCTTGATTCAGTGAAATGCTAGTTTCTGGCTGTCCAGTGTATTTATTCCTGTATGCAAATTCTGCGGATGTTGACTTGATCGACGGTATCCACCGTGTCCATCCTCCAGTGTCAAGCAGAACCATGAAGGGCTGCCTTCCCATGTATATCTGGACGATTGGATTACCCAATAAGATTAAAAGGATAAATCATGTAGGAGCACGTAGCACTTACTGCGTTGTCGCTAATGAAGTCCACGTGAAAAATCTGGCATTGGACATGTGTTGATCTTTACACCGTTTTTCGAAGAAATTTGCCACTCACCTTGGATTCAGTAGATAGAACAAGCATACTACTGGCAATAATTTGCCTATGAGTATCTTGGACATTGTAGGCCCGTGTAGGTGTCGAAAGCTCACAATTGTGTCTTCCGTCTGCTGGTTAGCGCAGTAACAGGCAAGTGTCTATATATCCTTTGTTCCACAAGATAATTGGGTTAATTAGAATAGGTGTTAGGTGTGAACGAATGAGAAATACGGATGCCTGTCGGTGTTTTGGGATACCTTGGTGCATAGCAAAATTATGACAACCCATAGCTGCAAAAATTTTATTGAAGTAGTTTAAAAACATCCTGAAACCTACTTAATTTTTACGTTTCACCAATGATGTGCTTATACTTACTTACTGCCATATACCAAACAAAGTGCAATGTAACAAAATAAAACAGTCATAAATGTTTAGGTTTACGTTCAGACGCCTCCCATGTCTCTAGAATAACCCCTAGGTCATAATCAATCGGTACAGAAGTAGTATACTCCGCCTTAGGTTCTGCACAACCTGTGATAAGTGGTGGTTACGGTGAGAAACTTCGTAAATTGCCATGACCGCGAATCGCTTTCAGTCAAACTTGACCTTATTAAGAGAGGTTTCCCATTCAACTGGCGAAAAATGCCCGTCTTTACAAAATATGCTTGCATGTGAATGTCTCCAATGTGTATGTCTTCAACGTACACCATGACTATGAGGTTCACACTCACATTTATCCGCATTGCTCATTCATCTACTTCGTCACCCTCACTTTCTTGTTATTGACACTAGCCACATACCTAGCTACACTAGCCACAAGGCCAGTGGTTTTAGACTTTGGTTCTAATTGTCCGGCCAGATCGTGGCAATCCAGCTACTTCACCAGATTTGTTGTTCATCATTTTTTGCAGTTTGAAGTTTTCATTCACCAAGCAAGATGCCTCGTTTTCGCCTTCTCTTGTTCTGTTTTTTTTTCTCGCCAACTTCAAAATTTCACCATCTGATATTGTCGCAGCGTGGCATGTTTTCCCCGAAAGTGAGATAAACTTCTAGTAGCTGTGTTTCCTTTCCCATGCCGGTTTAGGCGGATATTGCAGATGTTGTTCGGGACATCGTCTTTTTTTCGCGCGAATCCCCCAAGTTGTGTCCTACTCTGACCGTAAAGGCACGACCATGCCTGACTGTAGACCGCTCACTAGTTGGAAATAAACATTATCGTCATTTCATTGCAACTGACGCTCAGATAATTGGACACCCCATTGACCTGTGTTGTGTTGGGTCTGATATGTTACCACAAAATGTTGAACCTCATTATTCAGCAAATTCTCTGGAACGAGACATCCCAACTCTCTGCGTTTTCTGGATCCATTATAGCCTTGGCTGGCAGTGTCAAGCAGGTAGGACACGCTCACATGCTAATTTTCGTGCAAAGATGTTTCCGAAAGTCCTCCTTTGTAGGAAGATGTTTATGAGGCGGCAGATCAGAGGCCAGAGCATTTGCTTCGACCACCCTACTAAACTTCTGAGACCTAGCATCAATATTTATTCGTGCACGCCCAAACGAGTGTGGTCTGGAAGCAGTCGTAGGATTAGTGCGCTGAAACAAAGGAATGTCAGCCTCTACAAGAAGATGAAGTTAATAAAAGGAACTGAACCTCTAAATAACAGCGCTATTGTTCACACAGACACAAGGCAAGTAGACGTAACCTAGGAACAAGTATTCTACCAATCTCACAGAAATGCAGAAACGTGGGTCTCCTCAGGAAGAGTGTGTCATACACATGGTCACTTGTCAACAAAGTGATCTTAGTAAGGCCAGTCGATATTTAAAAATGGTTCTTTGGCATACGGAGGAAAATGCGGTTGATGACATACCTTTAAGCGGCTGACTAGCTGTCTGCGTGACTGAACAAATTGTTCCAAAAATTTAGCGTGGACGTACCACAATGAAAAAAGGACAACAAGGGAATTATGGGTAAATTTATGTTAGCTGGGTATTGTACAAAAGCCCGCTACCACCAACACCTAGAGCAATTTTAACGCATAAGATGAACCAGCTGAATAGGGATACAACAAAAATGCCTACGTCTATCCGTGCCATTTGCCAAGGTGGTACTCAGCGTTACGCTACCTGTTTTGAGAGGACAATGGTTTGCAAAGGACCCGTGCAGCAATAACCCCCACGCATCTCAATAACCACCAGTGTACAAGCTGTTTATGGTCATCTAACAGTGAGTAGGCCCCCGCTATTTAGTGCCAGATCCGACTGCCCTCACGCACCACAGCATGGGACAGTCATTCTTTAAGTCTGGTGAAGCAAACAAATTACGATTACCTTCTGTATCTTACAGAGGGGAAATGTTCGTTCTTACGACTGAACTAGATTGACTAATAGGATATGACTATCGTATGACGTTTATTGGTTTGTTTGTTTGACCGAAGACCCAATGTGACAAATAACAAGTTGTTTACATTTTTGTGGTCGTAGCGGATTATATCATCGTAAAAAATCAAGTTTGAAAACCAGTAGGTGCAGTTGTCTCAGTACTTAAAATCAGAGGCTCAAAACCTATGTTACTCGATTTCTGTGATTTGTACATACACTAACCACCACGCTAATGTTATCAGGGTGTGAGTGAGAATAATCACATGATTTTCTACAGACTCCTTTCGTGCGGTTCTGGGAAGCATGGAAGACTGCACGTGACACAAGAAAGAGAGATGTTCACAAAGAGCACTGTTTCTTCGGCCACCCTTTGTGTTGTTCATTTTGCCCACTTGCGGTAGTTAGCCCTAAAAGCAGCTGTCTGCGCTGGAGGTATTTTAGGAAAGATTTGATGCCCTAGTTGACGACTTTCCCGGAATAAAATGACCTACCACTGTCAAGTATTCCCACAGATTAGGAACTTATTGAAAAAAACTTCTGCAAGGGTGAAAATTTACAGGGCAAGTTTAAATTTCCCATCATACTTTTTGATTCCAAAGTCTGACGTAGTATCACATTTCTGCAGTTTTTGAACAAGATCGACCCAAAATGAAGCTTGAAATACAGTTGCATACAAAATTACTTCATAAAGGTAAAAGATGGGTCTAGGCTTCCATTTCTAATAAGACACTTCTTTGGAAAACAAAATTTTCTTGCGATTTCCAGATAGCACTGAGCACTGGTGAGGTTTGAAAAGATGGCCCAAGGAAACCCTGCCATTTTTGGATTCAAGGACTTTTGCGAGTACTTCCACAATCATGAACGACCAAGGAAAACCACAGAGATATTTAGGAGTGGTCCAACTGAACCCCAGCTGGCATGTCCACTACAAGTCCGATCATGTGAAAGGTTCGGGACCATGAACCCAATGCTCCCCACTGTTTAAACTGAGTTGTCCGCCCACTCTGATCTGCAGATGTTTACTGGCATATATTTTAATTCGCAGTAAACCATGCACCGGCAAAGCCAATGCAGAAATAGAGGACTGCGTTTTGTTACGACAAAGCGATGGTTTAGTAAATGCAACGGATATCCTTCCTAAGGAGTTCGCACGGCTCCATGATTAGGAGTAAGGCTTCTTTCATAGTATACTGGTGGGAGGCCCCATTGCTGCTGAGGACACAATACGTGAAATACACAGTTGCGAAATCGCCCGAACCCACATGCGTTATACTGCCGACTTAAATCTCTCGACAAACTTGAAACTTATTGTGATCCGGCTGCTCAGGCGTCTACAACTATGATTGCCAATGTTAGCAAATAATTAGGAGTTCCGGGCCGAAATCAGCTCGAAGAGTGTTAAAAA